GGCTTTCTTGTGGTCTGTACTTGAAAAACAGAACATAATTAATATATTTAAGCATTAAACAGAGAAAAAGTTATATATATAATTAGTTGCTTTATTTTTCTTACATTAAAATTTAAACTCGCAAAGTGTCATTTTAGAAGCGTCCTTATGTTAGGTTTTAGAAAAAGAAGGAAAGTCAAGAAAAAGTGAAAGCCAAGAAACAAAACCTTCAGAGCAAAAGTTTTCAGCTGGTACCTCCCACTCCATTCTCAGGGACCATCATGCAGCAACAACATGGTTAGAACTGAGCAGCCAGCGGGTGTGTAATTTGCATGTGAAAATATTTTTAGAGGACACACATGAATAGCATCTGCTCTCAGCCTGAGTGCAATTTTCTAAATATATGCCCTGAATGTTGTTTCCCTGACATTCTTAACTGTGTTCCAGATAATGGTTTCTTGTACAGATTTGCTACTCTTTGAAAGCACCATATATATACATATATCGAGTCTTAAACAGCATTTCAAGACTTCATCTTGGGGTTTGGGAGGAAGACTCTGAGTCTTCGCTGTGTCTATGTAATCACAGAGTTGGCAAATCATACTTGAACAGAGTGCAACAAGAGGATGATTCCCTAATTCAGGAAGTTAAATCAGACATGGCTGTTCACGCACTTGCCTGAACCAAAGGAGCTTCAAAAATATATCTTAAAACCCTCCTAATTCTTTCTATATTAAAAAGAAGTTTCAAAAATAGATAGAAATTGATGAAACAATAAATAAGCCATGGGCTCATGCACTGTTAGTTAAATCAAAACCAAAGCTACAAGACATACAAGACAAAACTCAGTTTGAGCAAACAGAAGGCTAACCAGATCCCGAAGTCATTACCAGTCCACATCTGGAACACTCAGATCAAGTCCTAGTGACTGTGGAACTGGCATCATGTAGTAATTATTACTGTAGGAATGTTTAATTCAGGACAACTGAAGTTCTATGGTAAAATGAGATGAAAAACATCAGTTTCTTTCCTTTGACAACACAAAAACTCTATTCCTCAAGCATATGGAAAAACTCAGGTTCTGGATTCTGTCTTGGGCATAAGCTTTCCTTTAATCAACTTGAATGTCCAGGAGGAAAAAAGAAAGGACACCAGTAAATCCCGTGTGGTGCTTAGGAGTACATAAAAAACACCTGAAGTCATAGAATACTTTGGGTCGGAAAGGACGTTTAAAGCTCATCTAGTCCACCCTCAAGCAATGAGCACGGTAATCTACAAGACCAGGTTGCTCAGAGCCCTAACCAAAATGACCTTGAATGTTTCCATGGATGAGGCATCTACTACCTCTCTGGCAACCTCACAGTTTTTCTCCAACCTCATTGTAAAGTATTTCTTCCTAGTCCCTGCTAAAATGTCTGTCCCCAAATATAAGATAGTTTACCAAAAAATGTTGGGGGTGGGAGGGAGGAGACAAAACAGAGAATGGAGGCATTAGGTAGCAAAAAAAAATCTTAACAATATTGAGTCATGCATTCTAACTTACCAAAGAGCTGGGATCTAGTACTAGAACTTTTTCAAAATCAGCCTATGCTAACAAGCAGGAAAAACATCTATTTAATCCTTCCAGAGCACAAACACACACAAGTAAACACCTTTTAACCACATTATCTCTTAAGCTGTCAACACTTGAGACAAAAGTTTGTGGAAGTCCAAAACAAAACAGCAGACTCTAGTCACCCCTGGAAAAAGGTGAAACTTACACTACAATGAGAAGCTAAAAATTTGTTATTGAAATTAATAAACAGAACTTACATTACCTTTCATACTACTGAACAGAACTTATATTGATTTTCATACATCCACTGCATTTTAACCGTAATTCAGTATTGTGGTTTTGAGAGTCCCAAATGCCAGGAGAAAAATCACTGCATAAGTACAACTACCTAAGGAAACTACTACACGATATCATTCAGTAGATTACATTATTTGACCAGTTTTAGCAGTTAAACAGAGCCACTGGAAAAGAGATTAAATACATATAAAATGCACTGCATATATGTAGGAACACCCATCTCAGTGACTGTAGAGCAACCGAGTTCCTCCTCCTACTCAACATATCCAAAAGTGCTTTACACTCCTGATGAACGTACACAGAAAAAACCATTCTCCACAATCAAAGCACTAATGAAGCAAATCTCAACATCAATCTAAAAATAAGTACACGTGACATATTTCTTTGCAAATTTCATTCTAGTATTTCCCCAGTCAGGTATAAAACTTCCTCCAATAGAATAAAATACTCTCAAACATTAATTCAACCTTCACAACATTGCTGCACAACTTAAAGGAATAACAACAGGAAAAAAATTAGATTACGGATGTTACGACGGCCCCGTTATAGTAGCACATCATTTCACAACGCTAATCATACAGCGCTAAGCTGTATGTATGTATGTTTTTAAAAGCGCAGCCAGGAGCAGCGTGTCAGGAAAGCAGAGGCAGGCAGTAGGAGGGAAAGTATTTTCTGTGCTCCCACTGGAACAATCTCCTGACTCACTCTGTCCTGCAGCCCCGAGGAGCAGGAGGCTGGGGCCGCACTGACAGCTTTCCTGACGCAAGAGAAGTGGAGCACTGACCTAAATGCCGCAGCTGCCGGGCTCCTTGCAGCTCAGCTCGAGGAAAAGCGGCCAGCATGGATTCAAGTGCCAGCCACAAATACTCGAGCAACTGCAGCCCGAGGCTGCTGGTGCAGAGACGCTCGCCGAGACCCCACCATCATTTCGACCTCTTGAGCCTAAAACCGCCAAAAACGACTGCGAGGCGAGCTCTAGGTTGAGATTTAGAGCAGAGATTTTCAACAGGGAGCTGCGCATCCCCGCAGCGCTTCGGCGGCAGCAGTAGAACTGGTCGCTGCAGGCTCTCGGGCAGAGAGTCACACGGGAGGCACCGAGCCTCGCACAAGGTTAAACCCCACCCTGGGCGCGACTTTAGGCAGGTATTCAATGGCCCGCAGGTTAATCATCACCTCCCTGCCCCGGGCACCGCGCCGAGCGGCGGCGCGGCCCCTCCCGCCACCGGGGCGAGCGCTGCGGGGCCGCCGCCTCCCGGCCCTCAGCTGCGGGGGGAGCAGGTGCGGGCCCCTCCCTGCCCGGGCGGCCCCGGGAGCTGCCGCAGGACCGGCCCCCGCCGCCGTCCCCTCCCACCGCGCCGCGTGAGTGAGGGCAGAAGGGCGCGGAGGAGAGAGGGAGGGAGCGGGAAATACCTCGGGCGCTGCTGGCCCCGCTCGGCGCAGCCCAGGGCCCGCCCGGCACTGGCTCCGCCTCCGCTGGCTGCCGGGAGCGGGCGGGCCGGGCCCGCGTGGAAGCAGGAGCGCGCCGGAAGCTGCGCAGCGGCAGCGGCCGGGCGGGGGGCGGCGGCGGCAAGGCGCGGCGGGGTCTGGGGCAGCGCCGGGAGCCGGGAGCGGCGGCGGCCGCAGGTGAGAGCGAGGCCGCCGGTGAGAGCGAGGCCGCCGAGCGCAGCGGGCCGGGGCTCGGCTGGCGCCGGGAGCGGCGGGCTCGGCCTGTCCCGGTCCCTTGGAGGTGGAGAGCGGGGGGAGGGCGTGTCGCGGGTCCCAAAATGCCGACTGAGTATTTCATGTCAGTAGCAGCGCGGGGAAGGGTGCGGGCCTTCGGCGCCTCACTCGCTCAGAGATGCGCTCCGGCAGGTACCGCGTGTGTGTCCGCCCCTGACGCGGCTTCCTAGTATTCAGCGATTAACTCTGAACGCTTTTTTCCTTCTGCAGTCTTTCTGTAGCGTGTGGATCACTCTGGCTGTGGAATAAGAACACAGGAGGCAGTTTACCCATAGGTTTATCTGAAAAAGCCGAGCACGTTTCGGTGTGGGAATGAGGGAGGGCGGGCAGCAGCCCCGCGCTAGGCCGGGCCTGCCCTGACGGCTGGTTAGATGGCATCCACCCCCCCCCAGCCCGTGCCTCTCATTTCCACTGCCTTGGGACACAGATCGCCTGCCTTCCTGAAATCTTGCCTCTTAGCTGCTGCTGTCATAAGCTGCACTAGTTTAGGCGGTGTTTTTCCTGCACTCGCATTCCTGCATTCCTTTTGTTCCAGGACTGAATGATTTGCCAGCAAAGTGTAGTCCCCATCCCTTGTCATGCACTCATAAAAGCATTTAATATGTGGAGGTCTCAGAGGAGTCTGCCTGTAGAAGAAACACTTAGAACAGTGGAGTAATGATGTTGCACGCTGGTTTGTTTTGCAGTGTCATTAGCTTTATCATTATTTGCTTAGTCCATGTTAGGCTGTTTTCAGGAAAGGAATTCATGTTTGCTCCCACACCGTGGAGCCTTGTGGGTCTGCCCAGTACTTAGGGGCTGTGCTGGAGAGAGAGTAGCTTTCTCACGGGAATGATGTTACTGTTGCATGTAACGAAATACATTTTGTGGCCAAAGCTGTCAATTTTTGAGGGAAGGATTGGGATTTGAATAGTTATGGCTATCCCAAGTAGTTATGACTTCAGATAAAGAAAAACCTTAATACTCTGATTTCTTATTGTGTAAAGAATGGAAAGATAACTAAAACCACTTTTTTTTTCCTTCACATTTGTTTCTTTTAATCTTTTCAATATCCCCTTGATGAAGAAAACAAGACTTGTAAGGTGATTTTTAAAAAAAAGGCTATTTTTAGATGTCTGTTTAGCCTTTAAAAAAGGAGGTATACTCTTCACTGTAGTGTAATCACTGTTGTTGCCTGCTTTTTGCAGTTTGCAACTGATTCTAATTCATAAGGTACTGTTTCACAAGGTACAGTTGTTATGAAAAAGGGACAGGTCCCTTTATCCATAGAATTGTTTGATGTGATGGTTTGGGCTGGGAGGAACCTTTAAAGATCATTTAGTTCCAATCCCCCCTGCTCTGGGCAGGGATGCCTTCCCCTAGACCAGCTTCTTCTAAGAAGTGTCCCACCTGACCTTGAACATTTCCAATGATGAGACATCCACAGCTTCCTTGAGCAACCTCTCCCAGTGTCTCACCATCCTGATTGTAGAGAATTTCTTCCTTTAATCCAATCTAAATCTGCCCTCTTTAAATTTAAAACCACTGCACATTTTACCATCATTCCAGATCCCAGTAAAAGGTCTCTATCTCCTCCTCGTAAGCCTTTTTTAAGTATTGAAAGGCTGCAGTAAGGTGTCCCCAGAGCCTGCTTTTCTCCAGGCTGAGCAATCCTAGCTCTCACAGCCTTTCCTTGTAGGAGAGGTGCTCTGAACTCACTCCAGCAGGTCCACATCATTACTTAGTTCCCAGCACTTCAGGTGGAGTTTCACCAGAGCAGACTGGAGGGGCAGAATCCAGATCCCACAGTCTGTGTCTCTTTGCATGAAGACAATAAACAGTATTGGCCTCAGTATGGGCCCTTGAGGGACACCATTTGTCACTGGTTTGTGCTTGGTACATTGAGCTGCAGCTGTTTGGATGTGGCCATCCAGCCAGTTCCTTAGGCTGTTCTATTTCAAACCCATATGTCTCTAATCCTTCATCTTTTCCTTATTTTCTGCCCTCCCTAGGTCATTGGAGTTTTCACAGACCAATTTAATTCCCTGGAATAGCAGAAAAACTCATGCTTTACTGAGTTTTCTGCTGTTTTGTGAGTTCATTTAGTTAATGAAAAGTCTGATGAGGACATGAGCTGTCAGGGAAAGTGGGGGGAAAGGAAATAAAAGAGAAAAGTGATGCTCCTGTTCTGCAGCAGCAAGCTGTTAGATCAACTCATCTACTGAAGGAAGTGTAGCCACAGCATAATGATAATTAAGTCACATTCATACCATATTTTGCATCATTTTTTTCAATATTCAGATGTAAAGAAGGATTAATTGTTTGGAACATGACCTAGTAAGGTTGAATGTGCGTTCCTGTGAACTTTTCCATCTGTAATGCAGTTATTGCATGTGGCTACAATGAGTTGTTGCAGTACTTGATACAGCAGTCTTTTACTTGGCTGTTTTCCTTGGCAGTGTTGATCTGATGCCCAGTGTTTGTACATTGTGCAAATTTCACCAATACTTTCCTGTAATGTTAGAGACTTTGAAGAGTACAGGCAGGCCTCTTGGTACCACTCTGCATATCTAGTACTGGCAGACCCATTTTATTTGCTCCTTGTATTTGTCTTTGAACTAAAAGGATAATTAATTTTTAAAAAGTGTTATTGTATTTGTAATAGAAATAAAAGTATTTCAGTATTGTGGTACTGTTGGCTGGGTGATTATAGCTGGGGGAGGTATTGTACATCTCAGAACATCTTACACATCTCAGTATTTAAACTTTACAAAGAACAGCAGAAGTAACAGAAATGGAATACAACTGAATAAATATGTTTTACAAAACCAAGGGGCATGCTTAAAATGGAATAACTTGCAGGGCCTTAGTGTTACGATTATGAGTGTGTGTTGAATTTTTGTGGTGAGAAATTTCTCAGGCATTTCTGTCATATGATCTGGTTTTTATTTATTCTGGAGAGCTGATACTGCTTCATGCCAAGGAATTGACTGAAGTCCCTTGAAAAATAATATATTTTAGTATAATATATCCTATGTGAAAGGCTGTTATCTGTACTGCTTGTAATTTTATAAAACAAGTCAACTTCCTGGCTAGACTAAATACATGATAACAGAGTTTAGTTGCAGTGTGATAGTGGTGTTGCTGTTGTGTGAAAGTCAGGATGCTTGTCTTTCCTTTATACTCCAACAAGCATGTACACCTTGAGCTAACCCATTAATTTTCACCTTGCATGCGCCCTGGACCGTGTTGTTTCTTGTGCACCCTAGAACATTACTTTGAAAGCTAAATGTGCTCTAAGGCACATGGATTGATACTTTTATATTCTTGCCTTCTGCTACAACCATTAGTTTCATCAGTCAGGGACTACTGTCTCTACATGCTGATAATTCTGAAAAGAGCTGCTGGACACACTGAAAGGATCAATAGGATGCTATCTCATTTTGACCCACTCTTAAGTTGCTGTGAGGGTCTGACTTGAAATGTGAGTGGTTGTGTTTTTCTGTTGTGCTTTTTTAATTCATGCTCTGTTGGTTGTTAGCATTCCATGCAGTTCTGTAGGGTCTCTCCTTGCCAAATACTCTAAGTAGGTTTAGGTTGAACTAATGTTTACACTAGTCTCAAGGATGCCTGGAGAATTTTTTTTTTTTGGAAGAAGTTGTTGCTGTACTGTATAAAAGGGTTTAAAGGACATCATGGTGTGGGAGATAGTGTTTTTCACTGAAGTAATGAAAAGGGAACAGTTACGGCTGAAGGAAAGATACTACATTGATGACTTTGCAATTCAACAACTTCCTCATGCATCTTGAAGAGATATATATTTATTCTAGTTAGACTCAAGTCAACAGGAGCAGCATTGGGTCCCTATAGTTCTTAATTTAAAGTTTTGAGTTCACAGTCCACACTATAACAAAAAAAAATATTTTCAGTTTAGGAAATACTCTTCTGAATTAATTTCCAGAAGTCACGCATGCTGCATTGTTGGTATTTTTTTTTTTTTTCACAAACTTCACTCTAATTTTTCTTTAATTGTTTTATTCACTTCTTATTTTTCAGGCGTCTTTGAAAAATCCTTAGTGGTCATGACATTGTTACAAGTGACATAAATTAGCCAGTGGCTCAGAATGATGGATACCCAGAAGACTACAAATGGTTTGCAAGTGATTGGAGAAGGGACTGGTATAGGGAAATCGACACTCCACATGGTGGGGTATTTGGGAAAAGTCAGTTGAAACTTGTTTTACATATGTGCAAAGTTCATATTTTTCTCTGTTTTGAGAGATTTTTAATTGGTCTTAATTTTACAAAAAAAAAAAAAAATCTCAAAATTATTTTCCACGGAAATCTATAACAATGGCGAAAGATTATTCTAAGTAAATATGTGCCTATGTTTTTTTACTGGCACTATTTTTACAACTGTTTGCATTCCTATGAAAATTGATTTATCTTTCAAAGATCTGAGCTTGTGTTCCCTGGCAATAAGGGTCCTGTGGTTTAGTTTAAGTAAAATAAAATGTGCATAATTGTGTTGCTAAAGACACCTTATTTGAATATTTAAATAAAAATATAATTTTATTTAAATCATTCTACCATACAAATATATTAAAAATAATAATAAAGAAACCAATGTAGTTTTTTTATATTGTATTATATCTAGAAGTTGAACAATGATTTTGTATGTTGCTAAGTATGTCTTACCTTGGGATAATGCATGAAATACATTAATTTATGCTGCTATATCTTTCTTGATTTGTTATTATTTTTAGAACTGTTATCCTTTGGAAACAACTGCACATGAATGTTGTCCAGTCTGCAAAGAGAAGGGTCAGATCCAAGGTTTACGGACTTACCGCCTTAATTTTCAAGAGTCCATTTTCCTTTGTGAAAATCCTCAGGTATTACACTAATAAAGGGTTTTATTTGGGCCTGCAGAGGCCTTTACCTTCAGCAGTTACACCTCTCTAAGTCCATGATTTTACTGGGGGTAAGCAGACTGTTGAAATAGGACCCCTCTGCTTCTATATGCTGCAGGATATTTGCTTACAAATAGGGAAAAACAGAAGTAACCTGTGTATATTCAGTGTTAAGGCACAGGTGGCTACCCTAAAGGATTAAAAAGAGTAAATTAAAATTAAATAAAGGAGAGTTCTTCTCATGTAACAAGGGATCACAAGTGATATTAAATAAATTCTTGTACAAGTCAGAGTAGAAGGTGAGTATTTGATGATCCATGTAACTAATGCATAACTCCAGCAGATCTGGGTCTCCTGTTTTCCTTTCTTTGAGGTAATGCAAATAGGTTTATAATTGTAATTACAATGTTTTTCTTTCTTTTCTTTCCTCTTTTTAATTTTAACCTTATCTGTGCTGTGTAATTTTTTGCTTGTGATTTTGCTACCTCTCCCTTCACTGCTCCATGTATGTGGGGAGGGTATAGGAATCCCAAACAGACTGGTGCCCATAAATCAGTAGAAACTAAATGAGATATGGATCTCAGAGTTGTTTTTCCCATTCCTTCCTGCTTTTAATTAATTGCAGTATAGTTCTTAAGGTTGGTAATAGGGATTTGTCTATATTCTAGTTGCCATTTGGTCATTGAGCTAGCCTGAAAGATACCCTGCCAGTTTGGGCATCAATAGTCTCTCAGACATGAGATAATAATGTCAAATCTGTATCCTAAAGGAATGGATTTAGCAGAATAAGACAAGAAGATTCCCCTTGTCAAAACTAGGTTGGTTGTGGAGGTTGGAAGAATTTACTGGAAAAGTAGTTATGAAGTATTGTATTTAGTAGTACTGATGTATTTATTTCACAGTTGCTTATAAGACAGTGGTGGGATAACACACCCTTCCTGTCATACCTATGTTGAATATATGCATTGATTTAATTAAAATATCACTTTACAGAAGTCCCTATGACTGGGTTGGATGTGGGTCTAAGCAACTTGGTCCAGTAGAAGGTGTCCCTGCCCATGGCAGGGGGTTTGGAACTGGATGGTCTATAATGTCCTTTCCAAAGCAAGCCATTTTATGATTCTGTGATTCAATTCCATTTTAAAAGTATGTTTTGTACTTTCTTTAGCTCTTGTTCACCTGAAATTGCTTTTCAGGTTTCACTGTAACCTTCTTTCTTTCCTTTAGTGTATCTACCCACTTGGTTATAAAACATTAAACAGCATAATTACTTCTACTGGTTCAAAAAATCATCAAGTTCCAACTACTCACAAGAAAAGGAAATTGGGTGATAGCAGTGACTTTTCTGCTGTTGAATCAGATCCAAAAAAAGCAAGAACTAACAATGTACTCAATGTTGGACACACCATTAATGCAGACTCCGTTGTGAAAGGCTACCAGAATAATTTGTGTATTCCCAAGCCAAGCCTGCATGATGTATTACAAAATGACCAGCAAAACCCTGGCAACCATGTGGGGTCCTGCATGCCGAAGGTGGATTTTGAAAAAACCACCAAGACCAACAACTACCAAGAAAGTCCACCAAAGACTTATAGTCCCAAAACACAACTCTTGCCAAATTCTGAACTTTTATCAACAGCATCTGAAATTTCACTCAAAGAGGATAAATGTTCCACTAATAACAGAGATTTATGTCTTCAGTGGAGAAACATACGTAATCTTTGTTGGTTAGATTGTATTTTGTCAGCACTGGTACACTTAGAAACATTAAAATCTGCTGTAGCAGAAGAATATAAAGATGGAAAATGTTTACTCCAGAAACTCTTATCAAAGTATAATCAAGCATCTATTCTTCTGAATACCTGTAAAAGGAGTAAAGTAAAAGGTGAGTAAATTTAGCTTCTGTTTTCTCATAGACTGATTTGCTACAAATATGTGGAATTTAAGACAGCACACTTATATATGCCTGTGTTCTATTTCAAGATCAGAAAAAATACAACTGTTACCATGAATTTGCAGATTGGTGTGCTTTATCTAGCAAAATCCTGGTAACATCTGAAATTGTTTTTGTTGGGGCAAGCATGCACTCTTTGAAGGCACCAAACACCAAGCATCTCTTAATTTTTTTTTTGTCATATCCAAAATAAAGATATTATGAATTATTTATGTAATTCACCCTTACTTTGTTTCCTTTTCCTCTATTGGTTAACATGATACTAGGATGCTATTTTAATCTTGATCTTCAAAACAATTTCTGTTGTGGTTTATATCATTTTGTAAGTGGGCAGCTGTCTTGTCAGGCTGAAAATAGTAAAGCTGGGAACATAAGTTCTTTCTGACTCCAGCTGCGTTCATTGAAGGAATGCATCTCCTGAGGTCTGCAGGCTGCTGTAGTTGACAGTGTTTCTTAACCTGCTTCAGTCAAAAGTAGTCAAACACATTAACCTGGATCTTGTGGTCTGGAAAGGGTTAGTCCAGACCAGTAACCCTTAACAGGAGTTAAGGTCAGCTCAACTTAACATATTGGAGGACTCTAACTGAGGAGGATGTGTCATTGTATCCTACTGGTGTGGCCTTTAGTAATTTTCTGTTCTGTGGAGATTGTGTTTAAGACTCCTAAACTAAGTCCATGGGGTTTTTATTTCTCTTGAACTGGACCATTGATGTCATAAGTCTAAAATTCTAAGATATGATCTGTTACAGAAGGAGTGAAGCTCTCCAGTTAGCCAGTACCTCTTCTGGACATTCTGTTGGGCTATGTGAGTTTGATTATATAAAACCATAGTCACAGAACAGCCCTAGGTAACTTGAATAAGGTTCTTTCCTAGGAAAAGTAATGTATATCAAAAAGTGGTTTCATCCATGTTACAAAGCGGGGAGAAAACCCCAAAATATTCTGAACCCGTTCATGTCCTGTGCTTGCCAGAAAGGCAGGCTGCTTGAGTTTAGGTGTTCAGCTGTTACTGGGAAGCCCTCTGCCATCCTAGAACCTGTCTGAGATGTTTTTCTTTGTTGGGCTGTGTTTGCAAAGGAGCTCTGGTGTGCAGTAACCCTTAAATGGGAATGTTAAGTGTTGGAATACAGTGCTGTTTGAAAGAACTTGGGCCTTTTAATTTCAATTGCTGCAAAACAACTTAGTTTATTTGGGTAACAGTGGAGAGAGGATTGGATGAAGAGTATTTTTGTGGAGAATAGGTGTAGAATTCATTCTGCTTCTCTGCGTAATTTTACAATATCTTTTGCATATAGCTGTTTTCATAAACAATCTAGAGCAATATAGCTGCAAGAAACTTTGTTTCTTTTTTTCTATACACAGTTAATATGTAATAAGCAGTTTCAACAGCTAATCTAAATATTTCCTTTCATTTCTGCAGGTTATGATCATGATTGTGTAGTAGAAGTTATGTTCTTGTGCTTAAAGAATGTATTTGTGTTTAAACAACATACAAAATTAAAATACTAACACATATAAAGTAAAAAGTTATTTTAAAATTATTTATACTATTTTAAAGGCTTACTTGGGAAATTGGTATTTAATCTGAAACAATACATTTAAATGTTTTACTATTTGAATTGTATATTAGAAAGCATATAGACAAATTTTTGTGCTTTTGGTCTTAATGCTTAAGTTTCAAAGTTTTCTTTTAATCCCTGAATCTTCAGGATTTGTAATGTGTGTAATTGTAATTCATATTGTCACACTATCCTTAAAAATTGTTACTACAAAGCTGTTGGCCCAGGCTCTTAGTCATAATTTAAGTCAGAGCAAGTAGGTTTTAGTCAGCAGACTACAGGTGAGTAACTTCTGTAAATTCTTCTCTAATTTTCAAATCTGTTAATACCAAGAATTGGCTGTTCTACCAGCAAGTCTTAGGCAGGTATGGGTCAATATGAAGGGCATTGGTTTGCAGAGGAGGAGTGCATGCTAGGGCTACCTGTGTGTGTGAAAAGGTGTGGGGCCTGTTACACTGTTACACATGTGACTGCATGAAGACATAATGTATTTTTTTCTTTAGATGTTCTTTCAAAAGCAGAATCTCAGCTCAATGAAATCAGAACCGTCATGTTTACAGAAGTTCAGCCTCAGCTGAGGTGTGAATTGGGTAAGTAATTAGTGCAGCATCTCAGTAATTACTTCCAGGTAACCCTGAATGTATAGCCTTTTATGTCATACATAAAAGTATGTGTGAATGTATGCATACAAGAAAGTTTGGAAATACATTTGTTTCTACTGGTGACTTGCACATGCTTCACACTATGATCAGCTGTTTTGTCCTTTGCCCATTTTGACTTTTTAGAGAGTAGATAATCTTTGTTATGATGCTGTTAGTCATTAAATTGTTGCTGATAACAACCTAAAAACATCAATCAATCCCTTTGCTGTAAGAATTACAAATAGAGCCTTGAACAAATAACTGAAATTTAACTCATAGTAATAAAATTGTCTTCATCCTTTTTGAGGTACTGAAAGGTGATTTTAGATATTTAGTATCTTTTTTTTCCTGTCCCATCTTTGAAGGTAATATGGAGAATCCAGTGTCTGCACTTCAGTTACTCTTACAAGTAGATCAACAAGCTGAGAAACTGTTCTTGAATTCGTTTTCATGGAAGTCTGAATGTGTACGTTGTGGCCACAAACACCAGGACCGGTAAGATTTTTATATAGCTGTTCTACCTTACCTTTTAAAATCTGTATATAATAGTCAGTTTTATTCAGATTTCCAGGTTTAAGCTTGTTGTTGAAATTTTACATGATCTGCTTTTTCATTTGCAAATAGTTTGCTGCTATTCCATGTCTTAAGCAACCATGTCATCAATTAGTTAAGAAAGAAACAATATGTAACCATGTGAGTCTCTGGACCTGCTCACTCTGATATTTTGCTGAGAGTATACAAATTGTTGTGATTCTAAATATATGCTTAGTACACTTCTGCTATTGAGAAATACTTGGAATATTCACTTGGGTTACAAAGAATCAGGGATTCTATAACACAATTTATGTATTTTAAAATAGTATTACAGGGGAGGAACTTCTTGAGAATTGATTTAGCTCTGTGTAGCCGCAAGTACAAGCTCATAATATAGGCTCCTTTTAGAATCAGCAGGAAAAGAGAGACACCTTTGGAAGACAGCTTATTTTATTTGAAAAACATCTGTTTTTCTCCACTACCTTAGGTTTGTATAATAAAATTCTAGATCCCCAATGAAATGAGATTAATTTGATCTGTTATTCTGGAAAGTTAATATGTAGACCTGGTAAATAGGATGTCTTCAAGATCCTTTGTTACATTCTGGGCTTTTATAAAGTTGAAAACTGTAGTTTTCGTTGAATACAGAGGAAGTCCTTTCTGTGGCTAGTGAGTGAATAAACTGTTGCTTCACTTTAATATCCCATACATTGTATTTTCATACATACAGTGTAATCTCTGCTATGAATGTACTAGTTTTTAAAAACAAGACCTTGTTTTTAATGTTAAGACATAGATTCTCAGGTAATTTGTTGCTGCTTTCTTCTCTTCTTGAGATTCTGTATTAGCTAGTAAATTATGCAGATGCTGGTACAAGTTCTGTCTTATGTTGGAAAGGAAACAGAGATAACATTAAAAGGAAGAAAAAGCAAATAATGTGAAACTGAGGGCCACAGAGCTGCTGAAAAAAAATTGTGACTAATGCTTTTTGGCAGAACTGAATTCAGGGCTGACTTGGATGTGATGCTGTCACAGTGAATTCCACACAGATCTCATGAACATGAATAGAATTTGGGTTTGCCATAATGTTTTTATAACTTGTTTCCTGGTGAAGTATGTATATTTATTGTTTTCTGATCACCAACTCAGCTTACTCTTTTAATGTGTGTGTGTCCAGATTGAAGAAAACACTAACAACATTTACAAATGTAATCCCTGACTGGCATCCACTTAACGCTGTTCATATTGGACCATGTAATAACTGTGGTAATACATCTCAAAGACAACAGATGATCTTGGAAAAGTAAGTTTGAATATGTGAACTTGAAAGTAACATACATAAAGATCTGAGACTTCATTTATTGAATATATGACTTTTGAAACCAGACTGTTACTGTGGGTTTGCAGAGATTCTGTACCCTAAACTCTGATCAGTACTCACTTGTAAAGATTTGAGATTGCAGGCCCCTGGGCCTCCACATTAGATCATTCTTAAAAGCTGAAATAGAAAATAGTGTTTACTAAACATGAATCAGAGCAGTATTTAACATGCTGACCAGCACATGTGTTTGAGCTAGGTCATAAATTCTTAACTATCAAGTAGTAAATACAGACAACTGATAGCCAGTGTCAGCCTTTTCACAGTCTCTGCTGTGGATAAAAGTTGTTTGGTCATTTGTTTACTTTTATGACTTGGTAACAATGTCCCTGACTAATGTGTTTATGGCACAGGGGTGTTTGTTTTCAACTTTTCCCCACTCCCCAAATTTCTTATTTGGTGTTGTTTTTTTTTCCCCTAATCTATAATTAAATTGAATATCCAGTTGGGATATTCTTTTCCCTTTGTGCTTACTGTGCAATCTGAAGAGACTGTGAGGAAGTAGAATAGTAAGGGCAGAACCATGTACTCTTAGAGATGTTCTACTTTTTCATTAGGAACTTTTGCCACTGTTTTATTGTAGTAAACTGGTTCTTTATTGTTTCTTTGTCAGACTACCCTCAATATTAACATTACATTTTATGGAAGGCTTGCCACATAATAACCTGGAGAAATATTCATTCCAGTTTGAGGAGGACACCTACCAAATAACATCTGTTGTTCAGTACCAAACAGATAAGAAGCACTTCATAAGCTGGTCTTTGAATCCTGATGGTAAGAATCATGAGTGGGTCAGGTTGGAAGGTACCATAGGGGGTCATCCAACTTCTCTGCTCAAGCAGGGCCATCCCAGACAAATGGCACAGGATTGTGTCCAGACAGTTCTTGAATGTGTCCGGTGAGGGAGACTCCACAGCCTCTCTGGGCGTTCTGTTCCAGTGTGCGGTCACTGCCCAGTAAAGAAGTTCTTCCTCATGTTCAGGTGAAGGTTCCCATGCTTCACTTCCTGCCTGTTGCCTTCTGCCCTATTGCTCTCTGCTGAGCAGAGCCTGGGTCTGTCCTCTGACACCTCCCTCCAGATACTCACAGACACTGATGAGATCCCCGCTCAGTCATTTCTCCTCATGGCTGAACAGGCCCAGCTCCCTCAGCCTTTCCTTTTAAAAGAAAGAGATAAGATAGAGTTTATGGTTCTTACCTACCATAATATTTCATGAGTCTACATGAAATGTTTTATGGGTTACTGCAGTAGTCTCAACCGTTGATATATAATAACTAAGATTTCTTTTGTCTGCGTTCTAAACTTCATATTAAAATGTTGCAAATAACTGGGGGGACTTGTTTCTCAGAGTGAAGGTTTTTGGTTGGTTTAACTGCACAGTGTTGTCTTACAGTGCATTTACTGGAAAAAGGTAATTTGGCTATAGAGCTTTTTTCCCTTCGTAACTTCATAAAAGTTAAAAAATGCAGTCTGACCATGACTGTGGAGCAAGTAGTATTGTTTATTTTTAAACCAGTGATTCATCCATTCTTGGCTGGAAGCAAGGTAACCTATTGTACTATGAGCAATTAATTAAGTTATTTTTTATATCTGAACTTTATGGCACCTCAGGGGTGGGCGGCACAAATCCATGTTAGAAACATTACTAATGGTAAGATGGTTGTACCAGTGGTGGAAGATCCATAATCAGAAAAGGTGAAAAGGTGATATTTTGATAATCATGCCTCTGTAGAGAGCGTGGGCTGCAGTCTTATGAAATGTTGTGACAGTATGAAAATTGTCTAAGTCTTACTGGCAGAGATAAAAAAGAAATGGGAAGAGGAAGCAGCTGGGAAATGTCTAGTTGAGAACCTCCTATATGTCGTATATATCTGTGTTAAAATTCTTGAAGCTATAAAATATTATTTCATGATCTAAAAACAGTTTGCAGATGAAGAGACAAGAGTATTAAAATGAGCAATTTCTTTTTAGCCCCTGTGCTTCCTACCCAGGCAATGAAAAGGTCTACAGAGAAACTTAATTTGAGAGGTGGTTCTTACCTCAGACTTGTGAGGATATTTTCAGACAAGATGTTTCAGCCAAAAAAAAAAAACCCTGAGCTAGCTTTGTTTTATGGTTGACCTGCTCTGACCTGTTATAATATTGCTGCAAGTTCTTCTTGTATTTGATCTTTTTACAGTGAAAGTCTCCCAGTTTTCTCTGAAGAAAAAAAAAAACAACTCTATTTTCTACTTGTCAGGGGAATGGGTTAATAAAAATACTTGACAAGTGTGAGGATAGTGACTTCAATTTTAAAAGTCTGAGTCTCTGCACTGGTTGTTATTTTTCAGGCACTTGGCTTGAATGTGATGATTTAAAGGGTCCATATTGCAAGAGACGTCAAAGATTTGAAGTTCCTCCTTCAGAGATTCATATTGTTATCTGGGAAAAGAAAGCATCCCCTGTGCCAGAAGTGAATTCACAGTTCCAAAGTAAAAATAGTGAAGATTTTCCTCTTAATAACGTACATTCAAATTCCGGAGTATTGCATTGTGGTTTTGATAACACTGTCGGCAAAGCACCTGCAGAACACCACAAAGAGGATTCTGTGAGGACTCCAGAGAAGAAACAGCAGCAAGTAGCTGAGGACAAAAGTATTGTTCATCATGGTTTAGAAAATCTGGCAGATGGTGATCTTGTAAAACTGATGCTTGAAGAAGATCTAGCTGCTTCTGAAGATAAATCACTGCCTAACGGACGGATGGTGGGAAATAACCTTCTTGATGGATGGGGCACACAACAGCAGGAACCAGCTTTTTCACTTAGCACTCCATATACAGGAGAGTTTGCTGGAACTAGTCTAACTATGAGCAATAAATCCATGTTATATGAAAATTCCAGTATTTGTTTACCTCTAGGTGAGTTGAACCCAGTAAATATTACTCCTCCTGTGCCCATAAAACACGACCCTGATTCATCTGACTCCTCACCTTCTCAATTAAATGACAGGTCTAATTTAGCTAACAGAGAACATGGATTAAATTCAGAACTACTGCTAAACAAGAAGTTGTTAGCAATGGAAAATACTATACAAAAATCACCTGACTTGAAAGGTACAAGCAAAACAGTAGTTAATTCTCAAGTTGGCAGTTCTTCTGGTGCCAGTAGTTCAGTCCAGCCCTCACACAAAGACCAAAAAGGAGGATTTGTAGGAAGCTGGGTAAAGAAATTATTAATCAAGAATACTTCTTTTATGCCTTCAAGTGCCTCAGCTCTCAAGAATGAGAGAAGTTGCAAAACTCCCTCAGTGCAAAAAATAAGTAAAGTTCGGCTGCCAGTTAAGGGCGCAAGTAACTTTGGTGGATTTCAAAGCAGAGATACAAAGAAAACAACGGAGACCCCAAAGTTACTGGCTCCTCAGAGTAATAATACTCATCCTTTATCAAATTTCAAAGGATTTTCTCAAAGCACTTGTCTTCCAACAGCAAATCCTACCACTGTTGTAGGTCCAACTTGGAATAAGTCAGAAAGTACGTTGGGTACCTCAGCTAAAGTGACTCAGTTCCCTTCACCTGGCTATAATTCTCGTAAGGCAGAAGAGCCAGACAGTGACAAAACAAAAAAACTTCGCCTAAAATTATTAAAAAAACTTAATGCTAAAAAGAAGAAGTTGGCTTCACTGGATAAATTAGCAGTGGAACAGATGAAACGGGAAAAACCTGTGAGTGGAGACGCAAGCGCCCCATCGCAGACTGAACCTCAAAATGAGAGTGAATTATTGCAGAGCTTTTTAAGGGAGCTGCCATATCAGATTGATGTCACAGGGAATGGATCCGAATTTAATGCAAACACTGTGCCAGGGTGCACTGGCCATGATAACACCGATGAAATACTGGCAGAATTACTGTCCCCTTCTTTGACTGTCGCTTCCTTGGAGGCTCCAAAGAGCGAAGACGAGTGTATGTACATGGAAATGGTGCACAGCAGCGTGGCAACAACCACATCCAATGAGGACACCAGTGTGCCACAGGCAGCAGTGACAAGTGAGGACCACAATTACTACAGTCCTGTAAAGGACACTAATTCGGAGCTTGATGCAATAAACAAACACTGTGTGAAAAAACTTTCTTTTGAAAGTCCTATGAGAGAAGATATTCTTGAAGACCTGTTCTCAATTTCAGCACCAAGCTCCATGGCAGGTGACATAGATTTACCTCATTTTGATGAAACTCTGTTTGAAACTTGGTAAATACTGAGTTTCTTGGGTTTAAGTATTTTTTCAGTATTATGTATGTTTTGAAACAAAGCACTACTAAATTATATTTTATAACTATAATTGCACACTGGCTGTACTTGAACGATTTACATTTGAGGTATTTTTTTCTTTATATTTATTGTAACAAGCAAATCAGGGTTTGATGAATTTTATTTTTCTAAGAAGCAGTTATCTTAGCTGTCAGATATGATGGTGATTTTTAATTAAAAGCTCCTATAAGTCTTAATTTTTGCTGCTTTTAATATAAAAAACTTCCATACTCTAGTGAGTTGGAAAAATAATGAAGTTCTGTAGTCTTGATGATGTAATGGTGTAAGAAATACTACTTCCGTAGTAGTGATTTTTACAGGACCACTCAACTCCTGAAGTTACTTTGTCCAATATTTAAAAAAGAAATTTAAAGTACCTTCTGTAATTAAGGAATTTTGCATCCTCTGATATGAAGATCATTTGTAACATAAACTTGAGGCTGGCATTCTGCTAGGCTGGCATTCAACTCCTTACACTATTACAGTTCTACAAGCTCATGCTGATGTATACACCCCTTGGATCCAAGAAAAGATGGATACATGGTAGAAATTTCCCTATTTAAAGTTACAGCACCTACTGAGCTTTCATCCTGGGTAACTGTGAATATAACTTGGTAGAATATCTTCTGAGCCAGGTTATTTTTTTAAGTAGAATTAGTAAGATTTGGTCCAGAGTTTGCATCACTAAGACTATCAGATGTACCCATTAGTTTTTCATAGCTGCAAAAAACATGTAATAAAAGAAAGGTTTCTCAGAATTAATTTGAGTGTAAGTTAATGCCTATTACTGTTGTCACTTGGAGTTTTTCATGACTCAGGCACTGCACCCCCGACTGTATGTGAGATGCCAAGGAGAGGCAAGGTCAGTAGGAAGCAAGTAATGGAAAAATGTGGCAAGACAGCAGTGAGTAAGCAGAGGATTCACACCTTGGTGTTTCTGGATTTGTATAGCTTTCATGTTGCTGATTTGGAGTCTTTTTTAAATGCATAGACACAAAGCTGAGGGTATTAGATAGATAGATTAGATGTACATTTTTCTTCTTGAAAATAAGAAGGATTTTATCAGCAAATCTTTAGATCAGGCATTTTTAGAGGTGTTCTGCATTTTTTTCGTTGTTTTAGAACCCAAGTTCAAAACATTAAATGTTCAGTCTTACTTTTCCAGTAGGTGCAGTTGAAAATAATACTATTACATGGCATGGCTACATATTCTAATGTTTTTGGATTGTTTGAACTAGGTTTAAAAAGTGTTTGAAAAACTATCAGTGGCCCTGAACTCGCTGTAATAACTTATTTCTGCTGCAGTTTGGTACATTGTTATCAAACTGGTACTTCAGGCAGTGAATGTTTTAATTTTTGAAATTTAAGTTATTGTGAAGAACTTGAGCTTCCTTGTTTTAAATACTGTAATTGGTAATGTTACAATAGAAAACAAATTAATTCTGAATGTTAAGGGCTGGTGTACTGCTTGTGAAATGTTTACCCATTTGTGAATTCCCTAATTCCCTAATTAAAAAAATAAAAAAAAAAGCTGACCAAAATGAGAGTTTGATTTATCTGTGAAGGGGCTGCAATGACCTGCAGCTGTGACATGGGAGCTCCTTCACCACTGGCTTGGGACACAACACAGACCAAGGGGTGAGTAAAGCAGCGAGCCCAGGGTTGGTGGTGCAGAATGCCCAGAGCAACAGGAGGAAGAAACCCTGCTAGAAGATGAGAAGGTCCTGGTGGAGAGGTTTATAATGAGGTTTACGGCAGAGGATGGAGGGTGTGGGGGCATTCCTGCTGTGCAGATACACCTAGACAGAAGCAAGGACCTCTGCTCACCACTGGCACCCCCTCCACAAACTGAAGTTAGACATGTTTGGTCTGCAGCTGCGTGGGATTCAGTGTGGGTACAGGTATATATAGAAGCTCCAAGAACAAACAAATAACACTTGAGATTAAAGTAGGTGTGAAAATAAATCTGTTCGTGCAGCATGTTCCTGGCTGCCTTTTTTTTCTGAAACAGAAAACTAAAGATGATGCAGTGCAGATTTGTTTCCATAAATGTTTTACTGCCTCCAATCCTGTGTAAGTGAGAATTCAGCTGAGGTTGAATGAAAACCCCATGACCAAAAAAACTGGTTGGAATTTGAAATGTTACTGGATGTTTTATATTAAGACTAGTTTTTAAATGCAGCCCTTAATTTGCCATGACGACAATGTGAAGTGTTGTAGTAGTTTTCTTTCAACTGGAAATACACGAGGTGGGCAGATAGCAAGTACAGGTAGTGATCAGAAGCTGGCCACTGTATTGTGGAGGTTTTATCAGTGTTCTAGGGTAAATTTCCCAAAGTCTAATGACTTTGAGCACTGCCATCTTCACCACTAAACCATGTCCCCAAATGCCACATCTACATTTTTTGAATACTTCCAGGGATGGTTTCTTCACCACTTCCCTGGGCAGTCTCTTCAAATTCCTAACCATCCTTTCAGAGAGGAGATTTTTTTCCTAACATCCAATCTAACCTCCCATGGCACAACTTGAAACCATTTCCTCTCATCCTGTCTCCTGTTACCTAGGAGAAAAGGCCTGCCCCCACCTGGCTACACTCTCTTTACAAGTGGCTGTGGAGAGCAGTAAGGTCCCCCTGAGACTCCTTTTCTCCTGGCTAAACACCCTCAGCTGCTCCTCCCAGGCCCTGCACTCCAGACCCTTCCCCAGCTCTGTTGCCCTTCTCTGGACACTCTGCAGCCCCTCAATGTCCTTGTAGTCCAGAACTGGACACAGAACTGGAGGTGTGGCCTCAGCAGTGCCAAGTACAGGGGGACAATCCCTGCCCTGCTCCTGCTGGCCACACCACTCCTGATCCAGCTCAGGATGGCATTGGCCTTCTTGGCCACCTGGGCACAGCCTGGCTCATGTTCAGCTGCTGTCACCAGCACCCCCAGGTCCTTTTCCTCTGAACAGCCTCCCAGGCACTGCCCTCCATCTATAGCACTGCAGCTCCTGTGATGCAAGGGCAGGACCTGGCACCCAGCCTTGTTGAACCCCACAAAACTGGCCCCAGCCCTTCAATCCAGCCTGTCCAGATCCCTCTGCAGAGTCTTGTTAGTCTGTGTCTTCTGATTTGGGAAAGGCATAATTGTGGCACTCAGAGTTTGGAATCGGCTCGGCAGAGATGTCTGCTGTGATTCAGATCTTACTACTTGATGATAGAAATTCTTCTTGTAACACAGTAAAGGGTGAAAAAGGGCTACCTTCTCGCATCCTGCCTACAATAAACTAACACATCTGCAAAGGAGCTGCCTGATGGATTTCAAACTGTATACCTGCTAGAGCACTGTTCAAGAAATCAGTTGTGGTGCCGATTACAAATCTGATTTTGATCTTGATGTTTTTCATGGCTGGCTATTGCCATTTATTCTTCCATCACTGTTTTTTGCTTTAAACAATTTATTCCCTTCCTGACAATATATCAGCGAGGGCCATTGTGTCTTTGCTCATTTTGCAAAGCTAAACAGCTGCTCTTGATGTGAGCCCCTTGGTGCTCAGAGCAAAGCACATTACCTTTCAAGCAGCTTGTGCTCAGAAGTGTATGCTGTGCTTTGAAGTCCGCCAGGATTCGGTCTCGGAGTGGAAGAACTTCCAGTCTAAGTATGGATCTAAGACGGCATGCAGACAGAGCAAGAGAGAAGAGGTTAGTGGAATAACACGGCTGATGGATTTTAAGGCATTTTTAGTTTTACACTGCTGCGCACAAACACGGTGTGGTTGTTTGCGAGGGAGATGCTGAAGCTGCACAGCCCAGGAGAACACGGTGGAGCCACAGGGCTCGCAAAAGAGAGGAAATGCTGGGAAAGGAGTATAAGGAAATAAGGACCGGGTGTCTCCTGCGTATGTTTTCGAGGAAGAGGCTGAAGAAACCCTCAGGAGATGCCTCTTCCCCGACCTGGGTCTGTATTACTCTTTTTACATAGGATAGTATCCAAAGCGGCTTCTGTAATGCCCACGGCATGTGGTTGTAGTTTTTGTCCCAAGTTTTCTGATGATGTCCAGACCGTTTCAGCTGAGGCTCGTTTCCCCTCCTCTAGACGATCTTTTCCAGGGAAACATGCGTTTGCCGCGGGGTTCGTGCATGCGAATGAAACCGAGCTTCAGCACAGGCCCCAGCCCTGTTGTCCCTGTTTCTTCCTCCCGGCCCCGCTGCAGCCCAGGAGGCCGCTCGCCCCCTCCCACTCCCGGGCGGGGGATGTGCCCCACGCCGCCACTGCCGCGTTCTAAAGAAGGAGGCAGGAAACACGTCCGCCGTGACACGGGAAGGGAAGAAAAACATGGTGTTTCCGCCCGGTTTCGAACCGGGGACCTTTCGCGTGTTAGGCGAACGTGATAACCACTACACTACGGAAACTCCCGTTGGAGTCCACTCTTCCTGCGCTCCCCCTTGAGCAACCTAACAGAGGGCCCGGAGCCCCGCTGTGAGCGCACGCGACGGGTCAAACGCCTCTCGCCGGGGCAGGAGGAGCGAGGTCCCGGAGGCAAAAGCGGGTCTCGGGTAGTTCCCACCGCTACAATGGCGGCGCGGCCCGGTTAGAGCCACCGCCTCTTGCAGGAGGGAAGGAAAAAACAGATGGCGCAGCACAAAAAAGAGTCGCGCTCCGTCCCTGGGTGGGCTCGAACCACCAACCTTTCGGTTAACAGCCGAACGCGCTAACCGATTGCGCCACAGAGACGCGCTGCAAGGCTGCCTCGCCGAGCCGCGGCTGGTTCCCGCGGCGGCGGGGGTGGGCGTTCCCTCCTTTGTGCCCCCGCCGCTCCTCGCTCCTTCTGGGGGCTGCGTGGGCTGGGGTGTTTAATCACCAGCCTTGGGACCTGACTGCTTCTTTAATCTGATAAACGGCCCTTCCTTCGCTTTCCTTTTTGTTTGTTGTTTTGTTTTCCCTGTGGCCTTTTCTGTTTGTCTTCCTGAGGGATTGGGAAAGAAGATAAATGTAGTGGTTGAAGTTCTGCCTGTTGGTGGGACGGTTGCAGATGGGAGCCTGAAAGGTGCTCTCCGAGACAGCTCAGCTGGCAAGAGGAAGCTCTGACAGCTGTGCCAAGGATGAAGAAGGCAAAAATTAGCATTGCCCTGTTATTAAGGTGGTCAGGGGGATCCAGCATCTTTCCTTCTGATAATTACAGTACCAAAAGGAGGAGGTGTGACCAGAGGCTTGAAGAACAGAAGACAAAATTCACCTCATGGTGACTTTTGACTCGAAGACCTCTGATAATTATTTGCAAGACCTAATGGAAAGCAGCAACACTGACAGAAATGAGACAAGGTGAAAGAGACTTCTCAAAGCAGAGTGGAGAGAAGGACCTGTGAATCTGCTGCCCAGGCAGCCTCACCTCAGCTCTCAACAGTCTATATAATGAATTATTAATCAAATTGCAGCCACCTAAAAGGTAATAAGGGGAGAATGGCAGCAAACAGGAGTTAAAAAAACCAAATCAGCAAGGAAGATATACCCTAGATGGATGAGGGCCAAGTCTGGGAATACTTAAGGATCCTGCATGTACGTAAATCCATTGGCCCTGGTGGGATATACCCACAGGTGCTGGGAGAGATGGCAGATCCATTGCAATCTCCATCAGCTTTGATCAGTCACGGCAATGAGGGGAAGTGCCCAAGGATGGGAATAAAGCAACATAACCCCCAATCTTCCAAGATTACTGGGGGAACTACAGGCTTTTCAGCTTCACCTCAGTCCCTGGGAAGGTGATGGATGAGCTAATCCTGGAAACCATCTTCAGGCACATAGAAGACAATGAAATTGCCAGCAGTTGGTAGGTATGGCTCAAACAAGGCGAAGTCATGTTTGGGAATTTGGTAGACTCCCATGGTGAAGCGACTGGCCTGGTAGAAGAGATGAAGTCAGTGGGTACTTTCTGCCTGGACTTCAGTGAGGCCTTTGACACTGTCTCCCATGAGATCCTTGCAGAGAAGTGTTGATGTGAGGTGGATTGAAAAAAGTGGCCAAACCTTTATGTCCAGAGTGTGGTGATCAGTGAGTGGCACAATGTAGTTGGATGCCTGTAACTAACAGTGTACCCCAGGGACCAGTATGGCACAGCATTCCATTAATGATCTGGATGATGGGCCAGAATTTACTGTCAGCAAGTTTGCAGACAGCAGGAGTGGCAGACAGAGCAGAGGGTGATGCTACTATCCAGGGGGAACCTTGACAGTTTGGAGAAATGGGCTTGACAGGTACCTCATAAAGTTCAGCAAGAAGTGCAAAGTCCTGCAGCTGTGGACAAAAAGAACATCATGCACCAGGACATGCTGGGGGCACCCATCTAGGCCTTTCTGCCTCTCACATCACCCCACCAGTGAGTGGACTGGGGGTGCACAAGAGTTGAGGGGGGACAGAGCGAGGACAAGTGACCCCAACAAATCCAAGGATTACCCCATACCATATGGCATTGTGCTCAGCATATAAAGCTGGAGGAAGAAGGAGAAAGGAGAGAA